CGCCTCCGCCGCTTCGCACTTGGGGGAGCCGAGCGCAGGTGCGGCCCTGCACGTGCGCGCGGAGGGAGCCCCTTCCCCGCCCGCGGAGGGGCGCCGGCTGGGGGCGCGGTCAGTGTCCAAGGGAAGCTGCGGGGGGACACAGGTGTGGCCTCCACGCAGCAGCCGCGCTGGGCTTTGCAAAGCATGGGCTGTTCGCCGCCGCCCCGATGCAGCAGGGGTGACGGACCTCACGGGCGAAGGGGCAACAAAATGCGCTCAAGTACAGTGGTTCCGTTTATCCGCGGCGTCGCGGTCCATGCCCCACTGATGCCTGAACCCGCCACGGGGCCCGGCCCTGTATATAATGTTTTTCCTATATGCGCATCCCTGTGATGCGGTGCCATTTACAAACTAACCCGGTGAGAGATGAACAAGAATAAAATAGAATTGTAACAGTCCACCGTGCTAAGTCGTGTGAATGTGGCCTGACAACCAAGAGGGCTAAGTGACTAATCCGCGGGGCGTCTACACTGTGCATTCCATGCTCGAAGGGTTGATTCACTCAGGGGCAGGTCTGAGCGGGTCCTTGCAAGATTTCAACACACTACACAGAATGGCACGCAACGTAAAACTTACGAGTTGTTTACTTCTGGAATTTTCTATGTAACATTTTCAGACTGTAATTGGCCACAGGTGACAAACAGTAGAAAGTGAAACCGTGGGTAATGGGGAGCTACTGGAATTAGGGAGTGGCAAGTTCGGGGTGTTCATGGCTTTTGTTCTTGGCACACTTTGAGAGCATATGATTTGATATATCAGTGGCTATGTCTAACCGCTGAAAACCACTGGAAGGTTACCCGTCAGCTCTTATGCACTGAGACCAGCTCCTTCCAGCGTCCCCACGAATGACCCGGGACGCGAGCTTTGAGCACGGGGCCCCGTGTGTGTGGTCCTCCGCCTCTGCCTGCACTGGGTGGCTGTTCCACAAAGACATGTCGGACGAAGGCATGAAGGAACAAGCCGAAGGGCACAGGACGCCCGCGCAGGAGTCACCCGCAAACGCGTACTGAGTGCTGCCTCGTTAGGCAGTGTCCCGATGCTGACGACACGGCTATGACCGTGGGGGTGGGGGGTCCCTGCCTTCATAAAGAATTCCTCTGGCGGAGGAAGAGAGAGAGAAAAAAGCAAAAAATAAAGCACACGGAGAATGGAAAGGCGGGTGCTTTGGAGCACGACGGAGCCAGCAGCGTCATGGCGAGGGCGGGAGGGGTTATAGTTCGAGAGTGTGGGAAGGATGGACCCCACCGTAACGGCTAACATCGAGCAGACAGGATGGAGGGGAGGCGCTGGACATTCCAGAGACCCGGAGGCAGAAGAAACAGCAGCAGGAAGGGTGGCAGGGCGTGTGCCCGAGGCAGGCCGAGCAGGCCGGTTCCCGGCCCGAGGCTGCAGGCGTCCCCACCAAAAGCAGCCCCAGACCCTCCCAGGGAACGGGCGATTTTCCCTGGTGGGAGATTGAAGCCATGAGCTGCCGACGGCAGCCTACCTTCCCCGCTGTCCTCACCTTCCGTCACGTGTGGGTCACACCTGTCCTCGGCCCAACAGTGTACAAAGCCTCGGCTCAGGGCATGAAGCTATCTCCCGCGGGGACAGGCGTGAGCCCGTGCACGGACAGGCAGCGGGAGAGGACACCCCAGGCCCCAGAGGGAGGGCATCTGCTGCAGGCGGCCGGCTGCGGCGGGGGTGGCTGGCCCCGTGCCCCTCGGCCCAGCCCCTGCTCACTGGCCGGTGGCCTCGGGAGCTCGCTCCTGCTTCACACCCACAATAAGCCGGGATTTGGAGTCTGTCTTTTCACAGTGTGGAATTCTCAGGTGTCTGCCCTCCGTGCTAGGAAAAGTTCTCAAAACTTTTATTTATAAAACGGGACGATGGCAGAACAGGCTCACGGGTTAATATTTACACCGCGTTCACGACGTCTCACAGCTTCAGCTTATGAACGGAAAGATCCTGCTTCTTCTTCTTCTTCTTTTCCGTCTTCTTGGCATCGCTGATTTGCATCTTCACCTGATCTTGTAATTTCGAAAAGAATGCTTGCGACGACTTCAAGGCTTTGTCTTTCCCTTCATCCTGCAATTAAACGTGGCACGCTCAAGTACGACACGCGCTTCTAGGTGACAAGTCTGAGAACGGGGGCCCGCGGGGAAGGGCTGGACGGAGCAGAGGGAGGCAGCTGGCACGAGGCCCCACGCTTCTGCGCGGCTGCAGAGCTTGGGCAGGTCCCTGGCTCTGCCGTCCCCTGGAGCTCCCGCCGCCCCTCACGTCCCGGGCGCCCCTCGCGGCCCTACCTTCAAGAGCGAGGCGCGGCCCGCCCCGG